TGCACCTCTCCAAAGAAAGGGCAACTGAAGGACTCCAAGAGGAAGCTCTGATCATTCTGATATCACAGCATCCTCCACGTGCTGGTCAAGAAACAACCTCTTTGCGTAAGTGGTGTGTCCCCCTTGTCAATGGATGTTGTGCTCACTGGGAGCACAGAAGGGATTTGTTTGGAGAGCACTGACATTTGCTCATGCATACTATGTACCACATTAGTCCACTGCACATGCCATTTCCTCAACTCAGCACAGAGGTCCTGTGTTGTACAGAGCTAAGTTTCCACCCTGACTTTTCCAGGCAGGAATAATGACCCCTAAAGAGAAAGGAAGTTATATAGTGATCCTTTGATTGGAGCTCCCCACATGGTGCTCCATTTAACTTCTTCCCACAGTGCTCCATTTGTCCGCTTCCTCCCCCTTTGTTGTGTGTCCAGCAATGTTCTGAGCACAAAAATGCTCTCTCTATATGTTTATAGCAATAAGCTAGTGCCAATCAGGACTTCAAAGCTGCCCTCTCCAGGCAGTGCACTTCACAAAGGCAGACCTTCCTGCTAGACAATCCCAGGTCCTTTCCATTTCATGGGTTCACCAGCGCTCATGTGCTGAGCAGACCTGGGAGGGAGGTCCCAAGCAGCAGGTCCAATTCCACCCAGGAGACGTTATCGACTGGCATAGACACATTCCATGGAAATCAGTTCACATGATAATGGTCGTACTGTCTCCTAGCCCATCTCCACAACTCAGGTTTTGACAATAGTCAACAAAACTTGACAGACAGAGCTCCTGGAGACAGAAAGTGCCCACAAGGTTTCTGAGGGCTGGTGGCCACGTAGATGACATCAACCCTCTTGGTTCCTCCTTGAGGCTACCAAGAGGAGGTGCAAACCCAGCCTGACACCAGCAGCTATCCTAACACGACCTACCCAGCTCTGGACTGGTCTCAGCACATGCTATTTCTTGCCTAAATGGCAATCCAACAAGCGCAGGGAAGCAACATGGAAGAGGGCTGGGGAATTACAGGGACACACAAGAAAGCTGAGGCACCCCTGCAGGCAGAGGGTACACGGGGGAACTGGTGGTACCATGGCAGGGATCAGACATGCAGGGAGCTGGAAATGCAGCACTGGGAGCACTGGACCATAGTGGGAGCATCACAGGACTGGGATTGCTGTGGTGAGGAGCTCAGAAATCCCTGAAGCTGGAAAGCTTTATTGGTTGCACTGCTCACAAGAAAATTTCTATCAACACAGGACATGTACTTTATCTAAGCTGCAGCTGGGCACTGAAGGAGCCAAGTGTCTGCACTTTGATGACAGCATACAGCCCTGGCACAGCCAAAGTAGTGGACGCAGAGTCTGCATATTAAAGGAGTTAAACCCAGAACCCACACAGAAATGGAATCATCGACTCAGCCAGGTTGGAAAACACCATCAAGATTAAAGTCCAGCCATTCCCAGCACTGCCAAGAACTGAACCATGTCACCGAATACAGAATACACGTGGGAAGGAGGCAGGCACCGCACCTGGACCATGCCCATCTGCTCTACTCCAGGTCAGAGGAACCCCAAAACACAGAGTGATGGAGTCAGGGAGCCTTTATGGGGCAGGAGGAGGCAGGACCACGTCAGCTGTTATCCAGGCCCTGGAGAGGGTGCGCTTTGTACTCACTGCATGGTGGGGCCACTGCGCGGGGGGGGGGGGTCCTATGCCCCAACTGATTCACACCAACAGAAAAGCCAGCCCCAGCAGGGGCAATGAATGGATGGATAACCACCTGCTGAAGAGGAAAGTGCTGAGACAACTCATAGGTGCCATGGCGATTCGTATCCTTTCTTTGATCTCAGCTATATCTTTGTACTGCGTATAGAAAGCAAAGAGAAGAACAACAAACCTTTCTGCTACGGCAGTGGCTGACTCAAATTCACTTTCCTTCTCTGTGATGGGAACAGAGGATCGAACCCCAGTCTGCATTAATGGAAAAACAAACAAAATCAGAAGTTCATCAGTGATGAAAGTTGCATTTCCAGCCAAGTATTTATTTGCTTTTGCCTCTAAAGAGCCTCTCTATGCATTGCATAGGAGCCTGTTGGAAGCACCTCCAGTAGAAGTCTTTGGTCAATTTGTTTAAACTCTTATCATGGTAAACAGCAGGATTAAACAGCATTTATCACCCACGTGGCCTCATCCCCATCTCCTCACTTGTTCCCATGTCAGAATCTGGGAAAACTCATGGCAGTTTGTTCCAGAGCTCAGCAGATTCAGGCACTGTTAGTCCAAGCTTTGGAAGAGAGCTCCTGGAGACTGATTTGAATGAGCACAGACAGAGCCCTTAGGCACTCTTAGCTGTTGGTCCTGAACTCAGAGGCGATTTCCAGGATCCGAGTTGTTCAAGTGACTTACCATGAGCTCCTTAGTTCCACTGTGCCTGCTCCTGTTGTATGGATTTAGTTAGCATGAGTCAGGCTTCTCAGTTAGCATAAGTAGAGCTTCTCTGTAAGTGGAAAAATACTAGGCCAGAGGGGAGGTTAGCCAGGGATAGCAGTGGCGGAAATGAAATCGCAATGTTAGCGACGTTAAGAACAAAAACCAGGATGTAAAAACCGCAGTATAAGAATGTTGAGGTTAGTGCTAAACAACACATAGTGCTGTTGTAACTTGTATTAAGCAACTTTGTGTAAAGCCCAATCAGAAGCTTGTTGGCAAGGCATGTTAACCAATCAGCGTATAATCAATGTGTGGATTTGTGTATAGAAGATCATGTCTGACGCTCAATAAAGGGCAATTGCTTGATCACATTGATCGTCTCTGCGTTGTCCACGACTCCCGTGTTGACACGCTCCACTCTTCCAAGTCACTTGGCCTTCAGGCAAAATCACTTGCCTTGCTCCACGTGCGCCCTGCAAACAGCTTGGCCTGGGAGGCCAAAGGGCAATGAGACCAGCCAGCCAAGGAGGTGAACTGCAGCATCCTTCCAGTGCCTGTTACTGATTCAAGGTGCGCGCTGAACAAGGAAGGTGCAGAGAGACCTCTATGTGAATTGGTAGCCATGGATGGCACGTACTGGCCCACTGTTTTGTCTCTATTAGCAACTTCACTTTAGGAGCTCTCTAGATCTACAAGCTCCACAGTTCAGCCTGTGGAAAGTACCTTCGCATTATTACCGTCATCCTGCATCCCCCTCAGTAGTCATGCCTGGCGTTGAGCTGTGCATGCACTGCAAGCCCTTGCACGTGTGGGAATCCCCAGTGCACACAATGCATCTGGGTGCGTTATTTTAAGCCTGGCAAGAACAGAGCAATGTGGTTTTGGTTTTTGGTTTTTTTTCTGGCAGAAGCTGTACCAGCCAGAGCTGCATGGAAAACATAGTACTGACTGGGTAACACAGCACTGGATAGGAGAGCACTGACTGGGTAACACTGCACTGACTGGGTAACATAGCACTGACTGAGTAATGCAGCACTGACTGGGTAATGCAGCACTGACTGGGTAATGCAGCACTGACTGGGTAACGCAGCACTGGAGAGCAGAGCGCTGACTTGCATAACAGCACTGACTGGATTGCGGCACTGACTGGATAGCAGAGCGCTGACTTGCATAACAGCACTGACTGGGTTGCGGCACTGACTGGATAGCAGAGTGCTGACTGGATAGCAGAGCCCTGACTGGATAGCAGAGTGCTGACTTGGATAACAGCACTGAGGACAAGCGAGGCACGCTGAAGGCACTGATTATGCCAAAGAAATCACAAACCTGTTTTGATTTTTCTATCATGTACATCCTGCAAGTTATAGAGACACAAGGAGTCATACAAAGTGCAATCCTATCTGCTGTTTGCAGCATCCCAGGAAGAGGTGATGGCTAAAGGTATCAGATGGAGCTTGGGACCGACTGCTTTCCATATGGCTGCAGACCATTTGCATTATTCCACCTCTATGAGACAGACATCACCAGGGCTTTTTATGTCCCCCAAAATTAATAGCATGATTGAAGGGAAAACTTGGGTCTCCACTAAATCTGTGCTTTCTCATTTCGCCTCAGGTCTCCTGCAAGCTAAACAGCACCTAGCTTAATTTGCACTGGGTCCTTCCCTCAGCACATCCCTGGGGCACTCCAGTGTCCTATGCTTGGCCAGACAACCCGAGGGGCTGCAGCAGGGCTCGGCACACACTGATAACTGCTAAGGCCAGCGATGGAGGATGGCCTGGAGATGCGGGGATGCAGGGTTTCATGGTGTGCAGCCACACTGCTGCCCCGTGAGCCACCCTTTCCCCCCAGCAGAGTGCAGGTGGCTGGATACAGCTCGCACAGCAAAACCAGCCGGGAAAGGGCGCTACTTCTGACCCTGGTTTGGCGTTAGGGATGCCAAGACAGGGTGGGAATGACACTGCATTTTCCTTTCCTGGAGCGCCAGGCTGCCTATGCCATGGCTTAGCTCAGGCGCCGCAGGTCTGAGGAGAGACAAAGTCAGTCTGTTCTGCCACAGGCACCACGCCAGGCTCACAGACTCATTGCTGCTGCAACGACCATGCCTCCTTCCCCAGCCCAACCACACCTCTGTGCCACTCAAGCACCTCAGGGCACGGCAGGGAGGGGGGCACAGGCTGTCCCACAGAGCCCCCCCATTGCCCTTGCTGGGCTGGCTGCCCTCAGCAGCGCTCAGCCTGGCTGGGAACTGCAGGTTGTGAGCATGTCTACAGCATTTTGCAGCACCACAGCAGCAAAAAAGGATTGAAGAGCTCCGGTGAGGCTGAAGCGCCACACATCATCTATCTCCCGGACTGGGAGCAGCTGAGCAAGGAAACTATCCCGACAATTGTGTGGTGCTCTTCTTTATACATTATTCAGTGAGAAACATGAGAGATGCAATTGAACAACCTGCCTTTATCACCTCCAAGAGGGACAATGGTGCATACAAAGGGTCTTTGAGAATTTCCCTGCATTCATCCTATGCAGCTTTAGAACACTCTGCTCACTTCTTGAACTTTGCAACACCAAAACTTCGCTTTAAAACAAGATGGACACTGGCTTTATTAATTAAACCATAAATAACAGTTTCTGCAATATCATATATTTCAGTTTCTCAGTCTATATCTGAGGAAAGTTCCGAAGTTTGGGGAATACTTTCAGTGCGTTCTGTGTAGTGACTTCTATAACTTCTTCAACTGGAATTCCTTTAATTCTGGCAATGTATTCTGCAGCAATGTAGATATTTTTTGGTTCATTTCTCACCTGAAAACAACCACCAAACAAGAACAAAATTACAGATCTCTACAGAATACAGGTCTTTCAGATTCAGTATGTCCTGGCACAACTGTTACACCCTGTGCCAGAAGAATTACACGTATCTTCTTCTTGGGTTATTCTTCCCTCTGCCCATTCCTGAATTACTTCTCCTTCCTCAGGAACACTGACTTGCTCATCTCAAAACGTTCACTTGGCAACCTCTTTCATCCTCTGTACCCATGCTTAACACTACTTCAATCTCCCCTGCCAGTAACTGACCTCCATGAGGAGTGGGTTTGGATATACATACATAGAAGTCCTTGCTCCGCATCATTTACCTGTTTTTCAGGCCCCAGAGCAGGAGAGTCAGTTTCCAAGCACATATTTTCCAGTGGTAACAGCTTCACAAGCTTCTGCTTCTTGAAGAAAGTAAGACAACTGTTAAACACCTCATGCACTTAGAGCTGTGGGGGAAGATGTATGAAGGGAGGCTATGTTTTGCATTTAAAAGCAACATCAAAAGACCTTGGTGTCACTGTCTGCATTTTATCAACAATTTCAGAACGGAAGCAAGAATACCAGGAGCTGCTCAAGAAGTCCTTCCAAATTAGGACTATCCTGTTTTCTGAATAACTGAACTATTATCTAAACACTGAATCCATTGTTATTACATCATGTAGTTATACTGCACAAAACACCTTAGAGTTGCCAATGCAATCTTAATTAGCTGGTTTTCTGTATGTATATATATTTCTGTGGCTTTTTCTCATCTCTTTTACCCCTCAGCCCCACTTTGCATTCCTTTCTCCTCCTAACCCTACCCCATCTATATCCATCCCTCACCCCCCCTCCACTTGAATCCTGCCTTTTCCCGTCTTACACTTCCTGAGCTTATCACAGAAAGTGATGATGGTGCAGGATGGAAACAGACTGCTCCAAAAGCAGAAGTCAGCATAGCTTGTGGCAGCTCGGAGTATAAATTGAAACAGCAGCCTCACAAAACCAAGGGCTGAACCTGAACAATGCTGACTTTAAGTAATTTAGCTGTGTCTTTGCTGGGCGCACTTGGTGATAATTGCAGTTCTGCCAGGGTCTGTAACTTAGCCAACTGTGAGCAGATTTCCTTTTGAACAGAAAGTGCTGAGACACAAACTAGTTCTTTTCCACATCATGTCTTGCTCTAGGACAGTACAGTGACAGAAGCTTCTGAAGAAAAGTTCACCAGAAGCCCCATGAAAATGAGAAAAAAATCACTTATTTTCTCAATCCTTGTTTCTCAGGAATAGCTGAACTGGTTTAGCCAACATTTCCCCCAAAAAGTCAGCCAAGGCAAAAATCCCAGGCAGAAATTGCGCCAAAGTACAAATGTGCAACACTAAGAACTGAAACTTCTATTGAGAAGTGTCAGGTGACAGCAACCATAGCGAGTACTGCCAGTCCCACTTTGAACTGTAGACTTCAACAGGCATGTTCTTGAGCTGTCACATTTGCTATCATGATAAGATGTCAGATATTACCTGCAATGCAACCAGCAAGCCCCTTTAAACGTTACCTGTTCACTCCTTATAATGGAAGGAGGAATGGAGAAGAAGTATCCAGCTTTCACCCCTTCCATTGCAACAGATGGCTTTCCATCAAAGGCATGGAGCAACACCTTGGTAGCACCTCAGAGAAGAGAAGCAAACCAAATCATCAGCAGGGCTTACAGTAGGTCTGCAACATCAGCTTCCAATGGGATCTCAGTCCCATAAGGAACGGACATCAAATCTCCGCACTGTTCCTCCTAAGTTTAATGTACACAAACTGATCTGAGGACATGGCACAACAGAAGAAACAATGCTAACAAAAGACATGACAGAGAAAACTCATTAAAAACATACCTTGTTCCTTCAAGAGGTTAATGGTCGGTCTTCCAGCTGAGCGGGAATGAACATTTCTGTACAGCAAGGAGATAAGGCATTAGGAAACACAGCAAAATACTTTTTTTTGGACAAGACACAGATGAACAGCAGCAGCTTGGGATGAATATAACTACTCTGTAGTACACCTTTATCAGGAGAAAAAAACATCTAGAGATGTAAATATGAATCATTTTAGCTACAGTGAAGATGCAGCAACAACATGGCAAGGGCAGGACATAGAAGATGACTGTATTCAAGTGGAAACATAGGGAAAGTTCTATAATTGCATATCAGACTGGAGGCAGTCAGGACACTAATGCCAGTTTAATCCATGTAAGTAATAATTATAAATCCTGGGAAATATTTCCTCATGTTATTGAAATCTGGCAAATTCTCATACTAGTATAAATACCACCTACAAAGGCAAGTCCAGTCTTCTCGCTATCTCAGTCTGCTTGATCAAAACCTGTCTTTGTCCTTCCTTCTGTTCATCCGTGCTGGCAAATCTGGGAGTGAAATCTAGTCCAACCTACAGTACAAGAAGAGAAGTGAAAACCTTTAACAGATCTAGCATTTGACAAAACCACAATACCACATATAAAGGCAACAAATGCTTCAAACCCACAGGCATTTCAAAACATACATATTAGAGACTGCAATTAAAATGAGCTCAACTGCAGCTGAACTCAGAAAGAAATCCATTCTCAGCCATGAGCTCTTCAACTGTGAAAGTACTTGTGAGCAAATAAGTAAGTCCCTCCAGTACCAACACACAAAAGGCTGACTCTACCATGGAGCTTTCAAGCCTCAGTTTATAAACAAATGTAAGACAGCAGACAACATAAGGATACAGACAGAGAGGGATCACAAGAAAAAAGGACTGTACACACTAGTGAGGTGTACTGAAGTCATAGCTCAGCCTCACTTTGTCAGGGAAGAAGGCAGGAAGGATCTGAATGAGGGTAACAATGTGACTTGACATTTCACAGTATCAGAGAACAGGTCCAAAGACATTTGGGTGTATGGCAATATAGCATGATTATGCAATTCACCAGCATAAATGTCATCTATTTCCTAATAATGACAAAGAAGCAAAAGAAGGGAACAGCAAAACTGAAGGAAAGCACATTAAGAGAATTACAAATCAGACTTAGTGCTTGTTCAGACTGACAGCAACACTTATTGCATACACAAAACCAAGTATTCGCTAAGTTTTTGTAATTCTGGTGACAGATGGAATCACATAATGGTTTGGCTTCGAAGGAACTAGAGCAGGTTGCTCCAAGCCCCTGTGTCCAACCTGGCCTTGAACGCTGCCAGGGATGGGGCAGGCACAGCTTCTCTGGGCACCCTGTGCCGGTGCCTCAGCACCCTCACAGGGAAGAGCTTCTGCCTTAGATCTAACCTGAACTGAAGCATCCCTCTCTGCATTCAATGCCAAAGACACTGCCAAAGTCATAGACATTTAAACAAGTTAAGAATTTTACTTACTTCCCCAATCCCCACCAGTTTATCTTTGTAGAGTTCTATAAGCGGCAATGCAGCATCCAGATCCTGCAAGAACAAATTAGATGCAACCCTCACTGCCCTTACCAGGTAGAAGGGTTTTGAACTCAGTGTTAGGATTAAATTGGAGTTCCCTTCATCAAGCTTAAATTCTGTACCTTAAAACTTGCTATTAGCGGGAGTTGTGTGGTCAGATTCTAGAAACCTGCAGGATTTCCCTTCTTTACATCATGACCCTTTATTTCAAGTTATCCTTCCATAGGAGCAGAAGTAATTAAAACAAAGGTTGCAGACAGCCCCCAAGTTTTTCAGGCTAAGGGCACGAACCACTGCTTCCACTTCCCATGCTAACAAAGGGACATCTGCGAACACATGTGTGCTGTTCACTGTAAGCAAAGCACTCACCTGGGACTTCTACAAACTGTTTTATTCCAGTAACACGGCCAGATGACTGCAGTGAACAGTTCTGCCTTAGGACTAACGCAGAGAAACGGATGTGCTAAGAGACCCTGGGGTTCGGTCTGCTGGGTCTTTTGTATTACAGAGAGAGCAAGAAAAGTCACCGGGCAGATCTACGTTAAATCAGGCAAACCGGAGCACTCCATCATCTGCCCTGAGCAGTCCCAGCTGTATTCTGCAGCCGAGTTAACTCTCTGTGGTTTACCTTCAGTGTAACGCTGCGCTGCTCCTCTGGTGAAACCTCCTGAACCGGGTGAACTCCCAGGCACGGGAAAACAAACCCCGGGAATCTAGGCATGGAACGTGCATCAGTACCGTGAGAGAAACTGCACAGAAAGCGGGTTTACAGCCAGCACGGCCTGACCAAGGAAGAGGGCAACGAGGCCCCCACCAGCTCCCACTGGGGTGGGGGGAGTGCTGCGGGACACAGCGGAAGGGTTCTAGGACAGGGGAGGGGGTGCCGCGGCACACGATGTGAGCTCCAAGCCTCCCCTCCCGCCTCGCACCTCTCCGACAGCGCCAGGACGCTCGGGAACTCCGCCGCCTGCTCCGACACCACGACAAGGGCCGACACCGCCGCCTGCAGCACACAGAAACCCCCGCGCCGCTGAGGCCCGGCCGGGGCGGAGCGGGCCGCGGGTCGCTGCCGGGCGCCTCACCTGCTGTGCCGCCCGCACCACATCCGCCACGTCCTGCAAGAGACACGCACCGCCTCAGCAACACGGCCGGGGCCGAGGCTGCACCCACCCACCCGCCAGCCCGCCCGTCCGCGCCTCACCGCCTGGAAGCAGGGCGCGGCGAGGTGGCAGTGGCAGTCCACCGGTCCCGCCGCCATGCCGCGCCGCGGGCGCAGAGGAAGAGGCGGGGTGGCCGCGGGTTCTGCTTCCGGGCCGGCATTTCCCCTCCGTGCTAGGCGGGAAATGGCGACCCCGCCGCCGCCGCCGCCTCTCAGCCCGGGCCCCGCCGGGCGGGACGCGCGGGTGCGGTGCTGCCGGCGGCGCAGCCTGACCGAGGCGATGGAGCTCTGCGCGCCCTTCCTGCGGGCCCTGGAGCAGGGGCAGCCAGGCGGGACCGCCACCGCGGGGGACGCGCTCTGGGTAAGGCGGGGAGGGAGCGGCCCGGCCTGGCCCAGCGACACCGGGTCTCGAATGCTGGCAGGGGCCCGGCACTAAGCTGAGGTGTTCGCGTTACCTTAATGGGTTTGTGTTTGCTACGAGAGGGACATTGAGGTGCTGGAGCGGGGCCAGGGGCGGGCAACGGAGCTGGTGCAGGGCCCGGAGCACAAGTGTGATGGGGAACGGCTGAGGGACCTGGGGGGTTCAGTGGGGAGAAGAGAAGGCTCAGGGGGAACCTGATGGCTCCCTACAAGTGCCTGACAGGAGGATGGAGCCAGGAGGGGCTGGGCTCTGCTCCCAAGGAACGAGGGATGGGACAAGAGGAAACGGCCTCAAGCTGCCCCAGGGCAGGTTTAGATGGAGCTGAGGAACAATTCCTGCCCCAGAGGGTGCTCAGGTATTGGAACAGGCTGCCCAGGGCAGGGCTGCAGTCACCGTCCCTGCAAGTGTTCACACTGTGGAGACGAGGCCTCAGTGCCATGGGTTAGTGGTGGCCTTGGCAGTGCTGAGCAATGGTTGGACCTGGTGAGCTTAAAGGGCTTTTCCAACCCGGTTGAATCTATGGTTCTACATAGCTGAACTACAGACGTAGTTGTTTACCCTGACAGGGCTGACCTGGGCAGGGCAGTGAGGCCAGAGCAGCCTTTCCAGCAGCAGGCATCACGTACGTGGAGGATGCTTCTTGAAGCCTCCTACCTGGGGAGGGCTCCTGGAGAGGCTGAAGGAGGGTTTCTCAAGCTCTCCTTTGTCTTGCAGAACTTCAAAACAGCGGTGCAGGAGAATGTCACCATCAATGGGCAGCCCTGGGATGAGACTCAAGATGACTCCAAGCCCCAGAGTGGTATGTGTGTGTTTCCATTGATCTCCTGAGTGGGTTTGTTTTGGTTTCTGCTTGTGGTTTCTTGAATTGGGCAGTGGTTGTAAGGATGCTTACGGAGCAGGGGAGGTCAAACTCCAGCTCAGATGTGCCTGTGTAAAGATGTTTAGTGCTGTACTGTGGGAACACAATTCTTGCAGAGCAGTGCTTATAAATGAAAATAAGAGTAACCAAGATGTTTAGGGACCTGTATGCAAGAGAAAAGAGACAGGCAAAGTGCTTTATGTGAAGGACTGTTGCTTGTTTGACACTTCTCAAGATCCTTATCGATCTTGAGGCACAAGCTCCAGCTATCACTAATATGGTGCCTACATAACTTAAAGGATTTGCTCTTGACTACCATAGAAAAGTCGCGTATAGACTGTCCCAAAGTAGCTGATATTAACATGGGGAAAAAGAAAGGTTTATCAAAGTTTAAGGGCAGCAGTCTTGTTGGAAAGTCTTCAGCAAGCTTTTCGGAAGTTGGCATTTCGTAGCAAGACTTTTCATTTGGGAGGTTAGGAAAGAGCATGTTCTATTTCATCAGTTTCTCCTATCAGAATAAAGGTAATATACAAAATTCAATGGAATGGGGTAAGGTGACCTATTTTTAAAGCTAGAACACAACAATAGATCCAAGTCCAGTGACCTCCCATCCTCTCTGGACAGTCAGTTTCTGTGTTTGGCAGTTCCTGTTGGAATTCCCGTTACTGCAACGTATCTGTTGCCTCTCATCCTCCTGCTGCACAGCTCTGAGAAGAGCCTGCCTCTGTCCTCTCTAGAACCACCCTTTAGGTATCTGAGGATAGCGGTTAAGTCACCCCTTAGCTGAGCCTCCAGGCTGAGCAAACCCAGCTCCCTCAGCTGCTTGTTGTACATCATGTGCTCCAGATGCCAGTCCTCTTGCTGTTTTGAATTGCTCCCATACCCAGTGATGCTGTCTCTTGGTGCATCCAAGCTAGGATGTTACAGCTTAGCGGGTGAGAATCGTGGCTGGATCATTAAGCTCAGAGGGTAGTGTTCAATGGTTCATACTTTTACCTCGGGGCTGATTACAAACACAGTTCCTCAGGTGTCTATTCTGGGACCCATTCTTGTTAGTGCCTATCCAAGACCTGAAGGAGATGGGAAGTGCCTTCACCCTATTTGCAGCTGACATCAGCCATGGTGGGATGCAGTGAATATGCTCAAGGGCAGGCCCATTCAGTAGAATGTAAACAGGTTGGAGAAATGCATCTGGGAATCTCATAAAATACAGCAAGGACAAAAGCAAAGCCCTGAACCTGGGAAGGGATAACCCCCTGCAGAGGTGTGGGACCTGAGGGTGCTGGTGGGCTAACCATGAGCCAACCTAGTATATTGTGTCAACGGGAGTGTAGTCAGTAGGTACAAAGAAGTGATTATTTGCCTTTAGTCTGCACTTTCTGGAGCACAACTGGACTACTACACTCAGTTTAGGACCTACCCCCAGTACAGGAAAGTTGTTGATAAGCTGGAGTTAGTTCATCAGAGGCTGCCAGGTGCCCAGAGGACTGGAGCACTTGCGCTGCGAGTTGAGACTGAAGGAATTGGCTTGTTGAACCCAAAGAAGACAAGCCAGCCTTCCAGTACCCACAGGGAGGTTACTGAGAACACAGAGCCAGGCTGTTTATAGAGGTGTGCAGTGGGGGAACAAAAGGCAAGGCTCACACTGAAAGGGGAGATTCTGACTTGATGTAAGGAAGTAAAAACTCACATTAGGGTAACTGAGCATTGGAAAAGGTTGCTCAGAGAGCTTGTGCAGTTGCCAGCACTGGAGGCTTCCAATAACAAACTGGACAAAAGTGTTTGGAGCAACCTGGTTTAAACTGGGAGTTGATTCTGCTGTGAGCAGGAGGCTTGAGTGACAAGAGCCTTCCTGAGGGCCCTTCTAGCCTGCGTGGCCTTGTGCTGGGGACACTGGCCAAGATCTCTTCCTGTCAAAAGAATCTAGTAGTATGTCTGTTGCTGCTATTTAATATACAAATTAAGTAAGTGGCTAAAATTACTGGTATTTATATCTAATATATATACTCTGTTTATACTTACTGTCTTTTGAATAATAATAGTAGAGATTCTTAGTAGTCTGGTGTCCAAAGAAAACTTCAGTACCATTCATTTGCTTCCTCCGTTAGCATTAGGTATTCTTTGCCTGAAACTTGATGCTTTTTACAGTTGCACAAAGCTGAAGATACAGATATGTTGAACTGGCTGTGGAGAGGGAGCTCCTTGAACTCTTTTGGTTAGGAAGCTTCTGCAATTGTAGTTCTAGAATGACAAAACATCAGTTCCTTTGACTATGAGGTCAAAAATGCATTGGTCTCGTGATGCAAAATGCCAGGCTGATTCAGGCTCATTTCACTAATTCAGATTTGTCCAAAAAATTCTCAACAGGGTTTTCTTAACAGGAAAACTTTGTCCAGACACATGTTATTTTCAGTAAGTTCTCGTTTGTCTGTACAAGTCTAACTTAATGCCAGCTGAGATACTGCCATCTTCCTGCAGTTGATGTAAGGACTGTGTTGTGCTTTTCAGTTTCACTTACATTTACTCATCTGCCTGCCTATCTGATCCAGCTGGAATCACCCAGTGATCTGGCATTTTGAGCCTCCAGTATTTACAGTGACCAGGGGCTCAAATGTTTCCTCTCTGTACTTAAATGATTTCATGGTGATCCTAAACCAAGCAAACCCACAAACTCTTAAAACCTTGCATTTTCCTTTCTGAAGTTTACAATCACCTGAGTCTGCACAGGTTGACCCAGAGAAGGTGCTCAAGATCAATTCTTTACCACTAGGTGGAAAACATTGCATGGCATGCAAGTTGTGCTCAAGACATTAGTGAAAACAGGGAGTATATATCTTCTGTAGGGTAGGAGTAGTGAAATCACCAATTGAAAGCTGAAAATACATTCTAGGTACTGAATCTTGGGAGTGGAAAAGCAAGTTATGAAAGTTAGGTCCTACTACATACGGTCTCTTGGGCCTCTGATGTTGAAAGCAGATATGTTTTGGGTTTTGCAAACTCCTTCCAACTAGGAGTTACAGGTGTCATCAGGATGCAGAGTATTTCCAGGAACTGTGTTGCATTGTCAGGTTCAACTGCATGTTTGTGCTCTATATGAAATACAATCGGGTGGCTTCAAATGACTCTTTGGATAGTTGGTGTTTGCATAATGCTTGTAACTTACACAGATAAACCATTTTTCTTGCTGCATCCTGTGTTGCTTTTCTTCACTTGGAAAACAAGTTCCCTCAAAAGAGAGCAGTTTTTTTGTGAGACGTTCTTCATATCTTCAGAGTTCATAAAGAAATAGGGGTTTGCTTTTTGCCCCAGGTGATTCTCTACCTCCCCATGCCCCATGTTGTGCTTCCATTTCTGTATTGCCTTAGAAAGAAGGTACAAGACATGTATTTGTCTCTTCATTGATAATTATGCATGATTTCGTATTGCAGATCTAAAACTCTCTTTTTGTTGAGACTTTGTCTCAAATTAAAAATAAGAAAACCAACAAAAACTTAGAATTCCTACAGTAACTTTGTGTGTTTGTCATTTTTAGGTTCAGACATTAAAGTTCTTGAAGATGAATTTGATAAAGTAATAGTAGTGACAACAACAAAGCGTAAGCAGTGGCCTAGAAAGATACTGATTCATGCTATCCAAGCCATGAAGGCAGAGCAAGAGTTGTTGGTGAGTATCCTATGATTTTCAGAAAACCTTTGCATATACTAGTTGCTGATCATCTGGAACTTAAAAAATAACCTTGACCTTTTAAGCTTCTTCCCATAGTTGCTCTGGATTCTTTGCATTATAGTGAAATTAGATGATCTTAAGGTCCTTTCCAACCCTAACTATTCTATGATTCTATGAAATTCAGTTCTTTGCATTAATTGGCTCCT